TTGAAGCGCTACGCTCGCTTCCTCCCCCCGAAGGACGGTGACGATGAGGGGCAGGTCACCTCGTGGAAGGTGCCGGCGGCGCGGGGAGGGCGCTGGGATGGTGTGGGGTGACTGACTCTGCTCTGAGGCAAACTCGAATAAATGAGGTCTTTCAGGTGTCTTTTTGCGAGTCTAGAGCTAAAGCAGGAATCGGGAGAGGTTTTATTTCATGAATTATTAATGACGACACATCTGAGTGTTAGTGGCCCACTTTTTTTTTTATTCCTTCATTCAGCAGTAACCTGTGATATTAAAATCTAGAGATGAAGGTGGAAGAATCCAGAGGGTTGTCCCAAGTAGTTAAATCTGTATATGGAGGTGTAATTAGTGAAAAAATCATTTAATGTGCCTCCTGTCTGTGGGAGTGAAGGGCAAGTTGAATTAGTGAGATATGAATTACACACCTGGCTTTTAACAGCAACTTTTGAGACCTTTTATTTGGCACTAGAAATTGGAATTGTAGATTCTGTGCTTGCAGAGCCAGATTTTCCTTTGTCTGTCTTTTTAAAGGTGTTCGAATCAAATGAAGAATCAGGCCCTCTTGTCCTTACCATTGTGGAGTCTGGCCATTTCTTTATTTCCCGAGGGCAAACAGTGCTGGTAAGTTTGTCGTGTATAAAGAACATTTTTCCTTCATGTTACCATCAGTATTAACTTGGTTTCTTTTCTCAGCTTCATCTTCTCTCCCACAGACTAGGAACTGTCAATTTTGTTTTGCTCATGGTAATTCTCATGTGCTGTTTTCCCTTTACATTTATCAGAATAATACTAAATGCAGTATTTCATGCTGAGGATTCACATTTCTTCTGCTGTTCTAAAAATCTAGATGAAGAGGTAATGCTAAGTGTTGATGATGTTGAAAGATATTTGGGGGTTTTTTTATGATTCTTCTAAGAAAACAGGAAAATTTCTAAACACCATTTGGAAATAGGTAAAACTATAATTTGCTAGATGGTCCAGCTGACTGCTTGCCAGTGACCTGTTAGTATTTTGGTTTGACAATCTGGTTTATCAAAGGGTCTGGTATTTTCTATGCTGGATGATGAGATTTAACATACCACATGAGATCCTTGGAGACAAAATCCAAACTTGTGTCAACTGGTTTTCCTGTAGCCTGCACTTGCTTAACCATACCCAGCTACTAAACTAAAGAATTCACAAAGACACCAAAAGGAAAATTCTGTCTAGAAGGAGTGGGTTTCGTGCTCTGACACAGAAGACCTTGTGGAAGGTGGAATTAAGTGTGTTCATTGTATCACCAGTACTCAGTGTGATAACGAGGAGAGCCGGCTGATAAATGTGTTAGAGAGGTATTACAAACCACTGGAAGATGCTGCAGTGTAAAGATAGCAAAGCTTTTTTAACAGCATGTATAAGAGACTGTGTAGCAGCTTTAAATATGTATAAGCTTATAAATTAGTTTGTACTGTGCCTCTTAAAGGGTCATAAACTTAGAGAAATTTAAGTGTAGGGCAGAACCATGGATACCCTTGAATTTTTTGAATTTTTGTGTGTTGGAAGCATTGAATAGTTAATGCATGAGCTAACAGAGAGCTGCTACTGGGGATGGCCCTCAGCTCATTTAGTGAGGACAAGGTAAAAAGGGACTGTGGAAAGTATTTCAGCAGTTGTGTTGAATAAGAAAAAGGAAAGAGGTGTTGAAAATGTGGATGGAAATGAGACTTCCTTATTGTGTTGAATAAGAAAAAGGGAAGAGGTTTTGAAAATGTGGATGGAAATGAGACTTGCTGCCATCCCTTACCCCATTCTGCTTGGAATGGCTCAGTGCAGGATGCTCCTGTTCCTGTCAGTGACCAGTAAGTGGCATTCCCCTGGAAGTCCTTGAGATAACCATATAAAAGATAACAGCACTTCTGATAACCAACCCAAGGGCAGAAAAGGCACAACCCAGAGCTGCAGCCCTTCAAGGGCTTGGCTGGCAAAGGCTGGATCTGGCAAGGAACAGGACAGATACAAGTGTGCTGTGGGGAAGGATGAGGGATCAGAAAAGCTGCTAAAAACTTGGCTGAGAAAAGCACTTTCTTGCAGCTCCTGTGTTTAGTGGCCACTGAAGCTTTCAGGCAGCTGCTTTGCTTGAAATGCCAGATGAGGAATTTCTGGGATGTAGCAGGACTGTTCCAGCTTCTGTGAGACACTGAGATACTGTGGGAGCCATCACAGAGTGCAGGAGAGGTGGAACAGACATGCTTGGTAGATGTGACCAAAATATAGCACTGAGAGTTCAAAAGAAAAAAAAAAAGTTGTTTTGGTTTGTTTCAAACATTAATTTTGGCAACCTTAAAGTTGACAGACTGACATTTAGAGTTTGTTAAAGAAAAGCTACATCAAGTTGGTTTTACAGCCTGTGGATTGCTTTGGGTGCAGCTTTGAGCAGGACTTTTTGGGCTGGTGGCACAGGTGTGTTGTGTGCCTGCAGGGCTGAACTGGGGGGACTGGTTCATACTGGGACTGTGGGTTTCTGAGACTGGAGCAGCTGCAGTCCTCCCACTCATCCTCTGGAGCCTACCTGAGGGGCTGAAACCCCACAAACACCCCCTGTGCTCGTGTTCATGGGATCCCAGCAGGGTTTGGGCTGGGAGGGACCTTGCAGCTCCTCAGTGCCAGGGGCAGGGACACCTGCACTGTCCCCAGAGCCCCAGCCAGCCTGTTCCCACTCCCAGGGATGGGGCATTTGGCAAACTCCTCCCTGAGATAACAACAAACCACCCTGCAGTGCTGCTCAGGCTGTATTTTGCTGCAGAAATCATCAGAATTGGTTAATCCCAGTGGCTCCATCTCCCTCCAGTGCAGCTGTCAGTGCTGTCACAAAGCTGTCACAACATTTAAGCTGGCTTTGCACGACCAAGTAGAGCCCGTGCCTGGAGCCTGTCACACTCCAGCTCCACTCACTGGGGCTCCATTGTGCTGCTCTGTCACAGGGATCCTGCACAGCTCCTGCTCCACAGGGAGTGCTGCAGCTGCTGGCACGATGTCACTTGTGCTGTCACCTCCTCTGGCTGTCCTGGGCTGTGTCCCTTGCATTGCCAGGGTGTCCCCCACACCTGTGTGCTGCCTTCCATTGAAATTCCCTCTGCTGTGCTCACAGAGCTGCATCCTTCAAACTGTTGCTGCCTTGTCTTTTGATCTCTCTCCTAATCCCTGCTTTGATGTGCTCCAGGCTCCTGGTTTGAGGGAGCTGGGTAACAATTATTGGAGCTTTGTACCTGTGCACAGGAACAAGATCTGGGTCACAGGGACATTTCCTTCCCAACTGCAGAACTTCAATTTTTGTAACATTTTCATTGATGAATAATAAAAGGATTTCTTTTTCTGTTTTTCACCATGAACAACATTTGCACAGAACTGAGAGTTGTGAAGAAAAAATTCTGTTTTCAGTATCCATAGTAGGAACAATACTATGGATTCAAGTGTTTCTGACTGCTATCAAAATATTCTGCCTGTGATGGGTGTAGTTACATATTCTCTAAGTCCTTTTAATTTTATTGAAGTAGGAAAGTTAAGAAACCTTTTCCTCAGGGCCCACTGGCTCTTTTATGATCCGTTTCTAAGAACAATATTTATAAAACAGCAATAAAACACTCACATATCCTAACAACTGTTGTTTATAATAAATACAGAAACAACTGTTTTCCTTTTGAAATGCCATCTATTCTTTGTGTAATGGAATGAAGAGGAGATAAATGGAACTTCAGAGCATGGAACATAAAAATCTCTGATGTGTAATGCAAATTAAAGAGTGTTTTGATTTGTTTTGTTTTATTTAATTTTATTCTTTTTTAAACCAAATTCTTCATTTGGAATTAAATTGCAGAATGTATTTTGAGGAGCTGTTTTTGGTGCAGTGTTGTCTAACAAGAATGCATATTTGATGGTAGAAAAACCTCATTCTTGTCTAGTGTAGTCAATGGAATTTTACAGGAATATCTCCACAGCATCTCTGGTAATTTCTGGCCATGCTCAAGATACATCATGTTCCATTTACCACAACTCTTATTTCCTTTCCCCTCTCTATCAACACATCATGGAAATTATATTTTGGTGTTTTATTCAGTGCAATTATTTCTGGTGCTAGAATTCATAATATCCTACAAATGAAACAAATTGAAATTGTGAAGAGGACTTACTTAATAGGATAAAATTAATCCAGAATAATTGATTTGTGGCCTGATCTTTTGAAGTGTAGACTGGATGTTCTCAGTGCCCTCCTGCTCCCCTCATGACTTCCAATAAGCTTAGGGTACAGTAGATTCTCCCTCATTAATTAGGCAGGCATTCAGCAGGCATCCTCATGTTCCTGATGCTCTCTTTGCAGGGCCTGAAACTCAGGCACCAAATTTTGCAGATGAGATTCCCAGCAGTGCCCTGGGCAGGGCTGCTCCCTGTGCAATAAATGAGGGCTCCTGGCAGGGAGCTGGGCAGTGAGCAGGTTGTTAATGCTGCTCTGTGGTACAGCCACAGAAGGTTGTTCTTTTATTAAAGTTTTGTTGGGTTATTCAGTACCACAATTGCAGTTCAACAACCTCAATTTCAGGTTGTTTATTTCAACGTGTGCTGTTGATGTGATTGTTTTGGACAAACTGAGAGTATCCTTCT